AACACGGTGTGCTCACCATGTCCCACGCCCTGCGTAAGGGCTGGGGATAGAGCCAAAGTCCCTGCTTCAAGGCGCTTATATTCTAACGCAGGAATACAATCTGTAAATAAAGATATACCATGTCAGTGGTTATGTGCTCGAAGGCAAAATCAAGCGGGTCAGGGGCATATGACTGATGGGATGCATGCTATTTCATATATACATTGGTCAGGCACAGCCTCTGTGATAAAGTGACATTTGAGCAAAACTTCTAATGAGGGAAGGAGGGAGTGAGTGATGCAGCTCTCTGGGCCAAGAGCTTTCAAGGTAGTGAGAAGAGCATATCAGAAAGCCTGAGATGGGAGCAACTGTGGCCCAGTGCTGTTGGACCCATGCGAGCACAGGAGGGAGGAGTGGAGAGGTGCCTGTGAGCCTCGGTAAAGACACTGGTAGTTACCCTCAGGAGGGGAGTCATTCAAATTTTGAGAAACTAGAGGAGTGATGTGGTTTGACTTAGGCCTTACAAGGATCACTCCGCTGTACTGACCGTAAACTGCATGGTGGCCAATTAGGAGGCTATAGGCATGGTCCAGCAGCCTGGGAGGGTGGACTGGATCACAGGGCAGCGATGGAGATGGTGAAAAGGGGTCAGATTCTGGATACGGCCATGGGATTCATCAATGGATTGGATGTGAGTTTTCAGAGAAAGGAGTGTAAAGTGACTCCAAGGCTTTTGGCTTCTAAATGAAGATGCTTTTTCTAGGGGGTGGGGTGGGGGAAGCAATTGAAGACTAGTGGGCTCAGTCTAGTCTTCTGGAGTCTGAGAGCTGCTTCACTGAATTCGTTTGTGTAAGGGTTTGGCTGGTGAGAAAGGACCAGAAGCTGGAGCCAAAAGTGGGATCGAGCTGGTGGGTACTATGGCTAGAGCGAGAAGCCATCTGTAGGTCAAGGCCAGAAGTTTAGATTGATAGGAGAATGCAATACTGAAGGCAGTGTCAAGGTCAGAATCCAGTGTTCGGTACAATTTGGGTGGCAGTGGGCAGTAATTCAAACAGGACAAGCGCAGTGGTGATTTATTAAGTACTAGGCATTGGCCAGGCGCAGTGGCTCACGTGAGCCTGTAATCCCAGCACTTTGGGAGGCCGAGGCGGGCAGATCACAAGGTCAGGAGATGGAGACCATCCTGTGAATGGTGAAACCCTGTCTCTACTAAAAATACAAAAAATTAGCCAGGCGTGGTGGCGGGTGCCTATAGTCCCAGTTACTCGGGAGGCTGAGGCAGGAGAATGGCATGAACCCGGGGGCTGGAGCTTGCAGTGAGCCAAGATCACACCACTGCACTCCAGCCTGGGCGACAGAGCGAGACTCCATCTCAAAAAGAAAAATAAATTAAAAAAGTACCAGGCATCATGCTAAAAAGCCTGTGTGTACAGTATCTCATTGAATTCTTACAACTCTACGAATTAGGTATCATTAGCTCTACTTGACAAATGAGGAAAATCAAAAGGTTGAATAACCTCTCCAAGGCCACAAGGCTTGTAAGCAGAAGAACAGTTTTAAGCTTTGATTGGATCTGACTCTGCAGCATGTGTGCTTAAACACTATGCAATGCTGCAAGGTTCAATGTACCAGCTGGCAGCTGAGGTTGCCTCAGAGGTTCAAGTCAGGAGGGTGTGGGATTGGTAAGTCCAGGTGGAAGCAGAGTCTAAATGTACAGACATGGCTCCAAGTTTGTGGTTTACATTAGGCATGAGGAAACAGGCTTGGACTGGACTTTGAACCAGGAGACTGGGAGCAGCATCTCAAATCTGGCACCAGCGTTCCCACTCACCCAACTACAACAGCACTAAGACCTAATTAGGCAAGATGTTGCAGAGGCTGACAATTGTAATGGAAAGTCAGTATTCTGCTTAGCTAGGTTTGTGACACTACCACTGTATTATACTCAGATAAACATGTGAATCCAGTGGAATTTCTTTGTTAGACCTCTGCATTATAACTGAAACAGGGCTCTAATGTGGACGATCAAACACCCTTCCCCTTCTGTAAGATATTTGTTACATAGATGTTGGAATCTATGTTGAAAGAGCTCACAAAGATCCTTCTCTTCACCTGGCTTAATTAAGGAGACTGCCCTAGATCTACAGGAAAGAGCTTGGTGAGTTTACATTGCTCTTTCAAAGGCAAACCACCCTGGCGTTCCAATACTTTTGCCTTTTTCTCTACCTATCAACTGGTAAGGATGCACTAAACACAAAATTTCATTCTCAGGCTGCTTAAAAGGCACATTTAATGCAGCCAGTTCAATAAAGATAATACAGAAATAAAATCTATAAGCAAGCACATCCTGGCAAGAGCTAATCGCTGTGCTATGATGATGGGTTAGAATTAAATAAGACACTGTCTGGTTCAGAAGTTGTTTCAGGTCAGGCTCGAGTAATACGCATTTCTAGTTTAATAAGGAACTTAGGCTCACCAAGATCGTGACACCCAAGTGACGGACAGTCAGTGGTAAAACTGGGTCCAGAACTCAGATCTCCTGATTTCCAGTTCAATCATCTTTCTCCTCTACTCAGAAGGTACTAGGATCTGAATGATAAACAATGCTCACATGGAGAGGCATCAAGTAAAACTGCAATTGACTAATACGCCATACATGATGGACCTACTTAGGGTAGAGTCTCTGTTGGCTTTTAACTCAATAGTAAGCAGGTACTGAAAAGGCTGGGAGCAGGTCAGCGGTTCAGACAACTGTCCACTTGCTGACTAGACCACCAACTAAATGTGCTCTATATAAAACACACCAAAGCATTGAATGGAAAACAGTACCTGCAAATAAAATGATAATTTCATAAGCAATACTATACAGGTGTCTTAACTGAGAAGCAAAGGTGATATTTGCTTGGATTTTATTTGAAAACTCTATGGATTCATTATCTACTTCTCCTTAGATAAGGCCCCTAGTATAATTACATAATTGGCTCAGCCTTTAAGATTTAAAGCCTCTGTTCCCAAGCTGCAGTGGCTGCAGCAGTAGGAAATGAGAAACAAGGCGATCTCATATTGAAGTGGCTATGTAAGGATCCCTAAGGTGTAGTCATGATTTCCAGCCATGCAGTTGTTTGGAATTAGAAATCCTGATTCCTACTGTAAACTGAACATTGCAAAGCTGGTGGGATTAATTCAGTGGAAGAAACTTGGTTTCTTGTTCGGAGGCGTGTGGATGAATAGGAACTCTTGTGCATTGCTGGCAGGAATGTGAGTCAGTACAATCACTTTTGGACAGGGATATGGCATCTTCATAGACTTGAAGATATGTTGCAACTCTACTCCTAGGTTATCTGCCCTAAAGACACTCTTTCTTACACGTTCACAAGAATTCTCACTGCAAAGATGTTGGTAGAAGCAAAATTTTGGAAGATGTCATTTAAAAAAATATGTTGTGGCATAGCAATTAAAACTAAAGCTATCAGGCAAATGATAGAAAGAGCAGGGGTGGCCATACTCATGTCAGAAAAAAATGCTTTACAGTCAGGCACAATGGCTCACACCTGTAATTCCAGCACATTTGCTTGAGCCCAGGGTTCAAGACCAGCCTGAGTGACATGTGGAGCCCCTGTCTCTATAAACACATTTTAAAAGAACTACAAAAAAAAAAAAAAAAAAATTTAAAAACTAGCTGGGCATGTTGGCTCATGCCTGTGGCTCCAGCTACTCAGGAGGCTGAGGCAGGATTGCTTGAGCCTGAGAAGTCAAGGTTGCAGTAGCTATGATCATGTCACTGCACTCCAGCCTGGCCCACAGAGTTAAGACCCTGTCTCAGAGTAGAGAACCCAGAAATAAATACTCATCTATATGGTCAAATGATCTTTGACAAAGGTGCCAGCTACTCCTAGGTACTCAAGAGGCTGAGGTGGGAGGATCACTTGAGCCTAGGTTCAAGGTTCAGTGAGCTGTGATCACGCCACTGCACTTCAACCTGGGTGGCAGAGCAAGACCTTGTCTCTTTGAGTGTTTCATCTTCATTATCCTATAAAGATACTTTGATTGCAAGTGGGGACAAAGTAAATGGCACATAAAATTTTTATTGCAAATTTGACTTCACAATACTTAGTACTCAGCCTGGGTCACCCTAAAGCAAGCATATTTTATATAAGCGGTTTCAGTTTTACTTTTTTTCTTTGATGACTATGTTTTGACTTTTTAATGCCAACAAGTCAGATCATTGTGTAGATGGCCACTAAACTGCCAAGGTGACAGTAACAAATGTGGATTAAGCCCAGGAGCCAAGTTTCCCAGTAAGAAAAATCCTAGGCCTCCTTCAGGGAAGACAGCATTTGAGTCAAAGCAAATTATCCTCAAAATGAACATAGATTTGCAAAAAAATGGTTATAATGGAGGATCAGGGACCAATGTCTGCTGCCCGTTGCTTCCTTTACCTCCTGTCTGATGCTCTTATGACACTCAAAGCCTCCGCACTTGTCACCCCACCCAGATCCAACTACAAGTGTCCCATTTCCCCCCACCCCACAATCAGTTCTCATGACTGCACTTCAGAGCTTGTCCTCTTAAGGTAATCTATGTTTAAATTCATAACGTGGACAGTATTCAACCAGAAAACAAAACAAAACAAAAATATATATATATGGCTTTTAGAAGGTAGGCGGGCAGATATTAACAGAATTGGTGTTGTACAAAACAAGGATGAAAGAAAAGTGAGGATGGTTTTCTAGCTGGATAGGTACAAGGGTAAGTTCATAAGCAAAGATGTATTACAGAGCAAATACTTCTCAAGTTTTCTCTGACTGCACAGTTCAAAGATTCAACTACACATTTTACCTAACAGTTTTGAAATACTATAAAGCCTTATTCCATTCTAATGTGTGATGGTTTAAGTCAAAAGACTTCAACCTTCTCAGCCTTTCAGACTAGCAATTTATAGCCATAATTCAAAGTGATTCTGGTAGTAATTTTCATTCTAGCAGAAAATTTTCATTAATCCAAGAGTGAAACAGGAGCCGTATTTGCTGGCCATGTTTTATTTGTCCTTTTTCTTCAAACAGGATAACCGAAGATACAGACAGTATTCAATAAAATAAAATAGATGAAACAAATTCTAAGAGACTGCGATGCCACATGCTACGTTTAACCTAATTTTATTCATGCTTGCCTTGGGATGGGGAATAGATCATTCAGTAAAAACATACAGTAAAAACAAAATGTCTTATCATGTACAACTTTTAAACTACAATAATGATGTACCTTAATTACTTCCATGCACACAAGTCTAACATTCGTTTTTTTTAAAAAATAAACACAATTAAGACTTCTAGGAGCATTTTATAATAAAGTAATTCCTAATTAATTTTTCTTTGTAGATAGATCAAGCACCTCCAAAATACAAATTCCTATACACAGTGAGCACGTTACTTAAAATGAACACTTAAGTAAATTAAGTACGTGGACAGCCTTAGGATAAGCTGACATTATAGATTCAGCTAGGTAGGCAACAAACCATAGTGCCAAATGGAAAAAGAGTATTTGCAAATAAATTTTAAAAACTAAGTTAATTTTTATAATTAAATACAGAAAATATACTGATTTGCTAAAATAAATAAGATGTGATGTATTAACACTTCACTATAAAGAATGCATATCAGAACATTTATAAACAGTGAATGAGTTTTATTAAGAATAGTTTACTACAATAAACGCTGGCTAAATAGAAGTGCATTTTGTGAAGCACTATGGGTGGTATATGTTTTGCCACATACTCTTGTTACCTTGAGGTAGATAACACATGTGTACCAAATTCGGCATTCATTTTCAGTTGCTGCTGGTATCATGTGTTTTAAGAAATGTGTACAGTATGAAAAACTTGAAAATACTCATGAATGAAAAATGTCTTAGGAAAAAAATAGCTATTTTCATGCAATTATGTACAGTCTCACTGTGTAAATTTCAAGGCAAGGTTTGTTTCCTGTAAAACAGATCATTGTTCTATGAGAGAATGTTCTTTACTTGTCTTAGTGCATTTCTTTTCTCCTCCTGCATTATTTTGCTCTAGTCTTTATTTTTGTGTGCAAATGACATGCCAGTTAAAATGAAAACTCTCACATGTAGAAAAAGAAAGTCTGGATTTTAAAAACCAAGGAACTCATAAAATCCTTACTAAATGACACCATCTGATTCAAGTAAAAAATGACTTAAACACTAGTAATAAAAAAAGACAAAACACATTTCATGAATACAAAGACAAATGTCTGCTGAGTGTTTTAGTTCAGATGTTTCAGAATGCTGCTGTATGTTTTATGAGGAATTTGAGGGGAAGATTTCATAGCAGAAGGTGTTAATGTGGCCTGTATAGACTTAAGTGGTGACCCAACTGGACTGTGAAACTGCGGGATGCCTATGGACTCGAGCTGCTTGTTAAAGAGGAACTCCCCACTGTTGTTCAGAAAGCCTGCCTCATGTCCTCTCTCCCCAAGCTTCCCATCCTCTACTGGCTCAGTTTCTAGCATTTCAGTATCTTCTTTCCTGCTAAAGAACTTGTCCAAGTAACTAGTGTAAGTGTTTTCCTTCTCAACTTGTTCATCCTTCCTTACTTCACAAAACTGATTGATGAAAAAACAGTCCTCCCCACCACTCACAAACTGGCTGTCCCAAGAAGATTGGTACAAGGCTTCTAATTGAGCCAGATTTGCCATTCCTTTTTCCTGTTTTTCTTGGCTTACTGACTTTGATATCAAACTTTTCAATTCTAGTTGGGACACTGAGCTATTCAAGTCATTTAATTTATCAACAACATCAGTAGGCTCATGTTGGGAACTAAGTTGAATAGTTCCTGCAATAAAGGAATCAAAATCAAATCCCTGATTCTTTTCCCTTTCTTTTCCAGCCAGTTGCTGTGATGCTTCCTCTAGTGCTATCTGGGCTTTAACCAATCCATTCCTTTCACATTTTGATTTGCCTTTCTTATCAGATTTTTCTTTGCTTTGTTCTTTCCAATTGGAAAGATCTATAATAAGCTTGGGTTCATAGTAATGGTTAACTTCACTCTCTCTCCAAACTAAGTTATCTAAATATGATGACGACCTCGTTTTGTAGTTACAAGTATGGCTACACTCCAGATCACAATATTTGTTTTCGTGATGATCTGAGTATTGCCAACAAGGCTCAGTAGAGTAACTGGTATCAAAAGCAGGATCCTCTAGATACTTTTCCCGATCTCCATCCAAATATTTTCGGGGATCAACTTGTACTTCTTCTTCATCAGTGACATCGGACAGAGCTCTTGGATCAAGCTGAACCTCATCAATATCAAAGTTGTTATGTATAGGCCAATCATGCTCTGAAAACTGACAATCATGATACCTGAAAAAAATCAATACGCTAGTGTTATTCCACGTATATGATTTCATTTTCAAATTCACCAAGTACTTTTTATGTGACAGCACTGTGCTAGGTCTATGAGGGGATAATTATAGGAGAATAAAGTCGTATGCCTGCCTTGCCTTACCAGAACTTAGTCTTGGTAGGTAAGCTCTGTTAACATATTTGGTAATTGCCAATGAAGTATGTAACTTCATGAGGAACTGAGTCTTCCATTCTGAAATAAGACCAATTCTCATTTATTTTCAATTTGTTTTTTGTCCACCATTTTCATGCAAACAAAAGACTTCATGGCCACAAAATGCACATCTCGAATCTCAATCAGGTACCTTACAAATGTTTACAGTAAGGGCAACCAGAAGAGGTTTGCTGGAAAACTCATCACCATGAATAGCAAAAATCTCCCTGTGTATATGTGTTACTGAATGTGCTATCCTATTACTGACATGTACAATCATTGAGGGAAAAGAAAAGAGATTAGATGACTTAGCTAGGTATAATAGAAAATGCAGGCCAGGTGCAGTGGCTCATGCCTGCAATTCTAGCACTTCAGAGGTGAGCAGACCACTTGAGGTCAGGAGTTTGAGACCAGCCTGGCCAACATGGTGAAACCCCATCTCTACTAAAAATACAAAAATTAGTTGAACATGGTGGCGGACACCTGTAGTCCCAGCTACTAGGGAGGCTGAGGCAGGAGAACTGCTTCAACTCAGGAGGTTACAGTGAACAGAGAGATGGCGCCACTGCACTCCAGCCTGGGCAATAGAGTGAGACTCCGTCTCAGAAAAGAACCATATTTAGGGGGTAGAAATAGACACATGGAGAGAAAAAATAGTTTGTAGATTTGTGTAAACATACCATACCAATACCTCAATATTTGAGGAGGAGGAAAAAAATTTCTTCTTAAAATCTTAAGATTGTCATTAGTGGTTCCCAAACCTGGCCATACATCAAAATCACCTGATGACTCTATAAGCTACCATCCTACTATGAAGCAGAATTATATCTAAACTTTCCCAGGAATGTATTTATTATTTGAGACAGAGTCTTGCTCTGTTGCCCAGGCTGGAGTGCAGCGGCGCAATCTCAGCTCACTGCAACTGCCGCCTCCCAGGTTCAAGTGATTCTCCTGCCTCAGCCTCCTGAGTAGCTGGGATTACAAGTGCCTGCCACCAAGCCTGGCTAATTTTTGTATTTTCAGTAGAGACGGGATTTCACCATGTTAGCCAGACTGGTCTCGAACTACTGACTGCAGGTAATTGGCCCACCTCGGCCTCGCAAAGTGCTGGGATTACAGGCATGAGCCACCGCGCCCAGCCAAACTTCCCTAGAAATCCAATTCTTTCACTTTATGAAACATCAAATTATACACTAATGTTTAGACTTCAAAAAGTCCCTTTTACTGAACCTCTGTTAAGTGTCCCCAAATTAATTTTGTTATTAGGAAAACAGATTCAAATACTGGCTGAGTATGGTGGCTCACGCCCATAATTTCAGCACTGTGGGAGGCCAAGGCAGGCAGATCACCTGAGGTCACAAGTTCGAGACCAGCCTGGCCAACATAAAACCCCACCTCTACTAAAAATCAGCCGGGTGCCTGTAATCCCAGCTACTCGGGAGGCTGGGGCAGGACAGTGAGCCAAGATCGCGTCACTGCGCTCCAGCCTGGGTGAGATTCCATCTCAAAAAAAAAAACAAAAAAAACAAAAAAAACTGCATCTAACATTAGTCGAAAATAATATTTATCTTAAGATGTAACTACCACTGAGACACTGCAGATATTTTATTGGATATGATTGAGTTTTTTCATCTAACATCTTAAATTGTTCTGACATTCATAAAATGATCCACTTCCAACCTTCACAGTTTAAGGACTTTATAATTTTATTTACTAAATATGCCTTAATGACTGAAAATGTTTCAAAGTAGCATTTAACTTTTCCCATCATGTAGCATCTAACCAGTAATTACTTTATTAAATATTTAAATTAATGGCTATTTAAGGATCATTACTAAATTTTTCTTTTTCTTTGAGATGGAGTCTCGCTCTAGGCCGGGTATGGTGGCTCAACCCTGTAATCCCAGCATTTTGGGAGGCTGAGGCAGGTGGATCACGAGGTCAGGAGATCCAGACCATCCTGGCTAACATGGTGAAACCCCATCTCTACTAAAAAAAAAAAAAAAAAAAAAACTAGCTGGGCATGGTGGTGGGTAGCTGTAGTCCCAGCTACTCAGGAGAATGGCGTGAACCCAGGAGACAGAGCTTGCAGTGAGCCGAGATCGCGCCACCGCATTCCAGCCTGGGTGACAGCGCAAGACTCCGTCTCAAAAAAAAAAAAAAAAAGAGATGGAGTCTCGCTCTATTGCCCAGACTGGAATGCAGTGGTATGATCTCTGCAGCCTCTGCCTCCTGGGTTCCAGTGATTTTTCTGCTTCAGCCTCCCAAGTAGCTAGGACTATAGGCACCTGCCCGCCACCACACCTAATTTTTGTATTTTTACAGTACTAAATTTTTAAGACTTCTACATTGTCTTATACATAATATTAGAAAACTCACTACATACAGTCCACTGAAAGTTCAGTAAATATTAGTTTTTCTAATTTAGGATCCCTTTACCTTTCCCAGTTATAAATGTGACTGTGAGTTTCATCCATAAGCAAAATATCATCAACTTCATCTTCAATATGAAAAGGATGGCTTGAAATAGGCTCATCCATTGGAAAAGAATATATGCTCATGTAAGGATGGGAGAGCGCTTCTTCTGCTGTTAACCGATCCATGGGGCTAAATGTCAAAATTTGTTCCAGGAAATCCAGTGCTGCAGAAGAAAAGGTAAAAGTTTTTGAGAAAAGAACTGCTTACCTTTAGAAAAACAGCAAATGTTGATCTCATTTATTTAAATGACCAGCTAAGTGATTCCCTTAGCACTTCATACTACACAACAGGAAATGAGCATCTTAATTGTACTAACAGGTCCCCATCTTATAAAGGGGAAAAATGGACTACACAATTAAAAAGTTAATTTGTCGGAAATAAAACTCTGATTTTATTTAGGACTCTGGTTAACCACAAATCCAATTCTTCCAATAAAACAGGCTAGTAGGCCTTCCTTAGCTCCTCACGCAGCCTGAAAGTTGTATTTACACCAGTCACACACTTCTATGCCTTATGATACCGACCTTCAACCCTGGATCATCACCACCATCTACTCTCTGGCCACACACAACAGATGAAAACTAGCTGCAATATCCCATATCTGGCTCATTACAAATTCATACTAAACAATTTCATTGTGACCTTTGCTATCTGGCCTTCTCTTTATACTCCAGTCTTCTTTATCATTCTCAACAGATAAACCCACTTCATATTTGTCTCAATCCTTACACTTCTTCACTATGGTCACTCACACATCCTCTTATCCTTGCCTTCTAAGTGAGAAAGATAGCCTTTCTCTCTCAAGCCAACCTGTACTCTAGAAAGAACCCATTCTTTTCTTTAAAAAGAGAATTTTAAGACACAGGGTCTTTGCTCTGTTGCCCAGGCTGGAGTACAATGGCATGATCACAGCTCATTGTAGCCTTGAACTCCTGGGCTCAGGGGATCTTCCTGCCTCAGCCTCCCGAGCAGCCAGGACTACAGGAATGCTACAATGGTGCTGAAGCGTGCTAAGATAGAGAAATGTACGGTAAACCACAGAAAGGGAGGATGAAAGGTAAGTATCAAGGGAAATTAACCAGAGTAGGGCTCCTAGGAGTCTTATAGGTTCACTCAGATATACTTTAATCCTGTTTGCTTTTTTCCTTCAAAGATCACAGAGTGTGGGGTGAGAACATGTATTCTTTTTACCAAGTTGCCACTGCCTCAGAATGTGCTCTGTCCCAAAATAAAACTCCACTGTTAAGAAGAAAGTAGTATGGAGCGTATAATTGATAAATCTTTAGTCTCAGAAACTCCATCCACTCTGCGTTCACTTGCTTGCAAGCACAGTGCTGCCACATGTGACGAAGGATCTTTGCTCAATGGTTAATCCCAGTCACTGGCCAAATATTCAGTTTAGTTCAAAGATTAAAACATGGTCCCCACCCTAAGGAGGGTATGAAAAAGATTCAAATAGCATTATACAGCAAGGTTACAAATGCTTCAACAGCACCATCCTCTTGATGAGACTCAGCAATAAACGACGACGACTCTGAGGTGGATCCAGGTTATGGCTGAGCAGAGCCACACCTGCAGAGGGTATGCAGACACCCACCCTGTTCCCCACTGCACCTCCCAATTCGAAATTGCTAGTTTGCATTTTAAAAGTGCTCCTTGGCCAGGTGTGGTCGCTTATACCTGTAACACTACCACTTTCAGAGGCTGAGGCGGAAGGGATGCTCGAGCTCAGGAGCTCAAGACCAGCCCGGGCAACACAGTGAAGACCCTGTCTCTATTTTTCAATAAAAAATAAAAATAAAGTGTTCCCACAGAGGACTTATTTAGTTATGAACAGGGATGTTGTGACAGTGGCTACAGGGTTACGAGAAAGGGAGCTAGCAATGGAATTTGTGAAGACAGACTCAAAGACTGGTGGAACTACTGAAAAGCCTGCAAAATCTGCTGAAATGAAACACAGCAGCTTTCTCTTTATCCAGGCATTTATGGGAGTTACAAGTATATATGAGGAAGAAATGCCATCATGATTTTGCCCCCAGTGCCTATATTCAAAATACTTGCTACTTGCTCTGGAAAGTGATTCAGAGGAACAAAAAAAACAGATTGTAGCCTAAGCACCAGGACAAAAAAAAAAAGGGAGATGAGAGTCGAAGTTTTAGGTACACCTTAAGTATAAAAAGACTATTTGGGAGAAAGCCCCATATCTAAGGATAAAAAGTTCCAGCTCCCTACACAGATTTCTACTTCACACACAGGCATGAATGTGAGGGCTACTCTCGTGTCACAATACCTTCTCGACTAATTCCTGGAAGCAGCTGAGTTAAAGGTTTGTGTGGCTCAGTCATGTCATTTCTAATGTAAACTGGAATTACGCTGAGAAGCTCCTGACGATCTTCCTCATGTACAACAGGAATAGATTCTAAAATCAGCTGCATCTGTTCAAGTTCATGTGCACCTGAGGTAAAAGAACAAAAAAAAAACACACTAAATACAACAAACACATTGCTCAATGTTTACTTATTTCATAATAAACATAAATTATATTATAATGACCAGTGGGGGGAAGTTTGAATTGAATCATCAGGTTTCACTGCTTTGACTATCACCAATCTACTTATCTATTTCCATTTCTGCTCACTGATACATTTAGTTTTAGCTGCTTTGTTTCCATAGGGAACTGACTCTAAGTTTGGTCTCATATTAAGGTTATCACAGACTATGAGATTTAAGAGATCTAGATTCTCGTCTTAACTGTACCACTAATTGGCTATAACTTCAGAGACAACAGTTAACATCTCTAGGACTTAATTTCACCATCCATGAAATGAAGGGTTGGACTAGACTTTTAAAATGAGAAGTTTTATAGTTCTTTGTTAGGGGTCAGTATTTCTAGGCTGTTAGGCAATTGAAGAAATAAAGGGGGAAACTAGGCTAAATAGGTGACTTTTAAAAATTCCATTTGCTGTACTCCAGCATGGATGACAGAGTGAGACCCTGTCTCAAAAACAATAAAAATTCCACTTGCCTTTCCTTTAATGTCTATAAATGCATTGAACATTCAAAAATTTTGTTAGTTCCTACTATGAGCAGGACACTTGAGAATACAGTTATGAAACAAAACAGACCAAGTCCCTGCCTAATGGATCTTATGGTGACATATGCTATAAAGAAAAAGAGAGTAAGCTAAGGGTGATAAGACTGTCAGGAAGAATAGGGCTGTTAATACTAAAAAAAAAAAAAAAAAAAAGTGAAGAGTTGGAGACCAGCCTGGCCAACATGGTAAAACCCCATCTCTACTAAAAATACAAAAATTAGCCAGGCATGGCGCATGCCTATAGTCCCAGCTACTTGGGAGCCTGAAGCACAAGAACTGCTTGAACCCTGGAGGAGATTGCAGTAAGCCAAGATCATGTCACTGCACTGTAGCCTGGGCAACAGACTGAGACTTGGTTTTTGTTTTATTTTGAGACAAAGGCAAGCCTCACTAAGAAGTGGAAAATTAAAGAAGTGGGGAATACACCAAACATTCATATGGAAGAAAGAAAGTTCTAGGAAGATGGAGAGAAGCCCAGAGGAGACAGGCAGGTTGGTATGTCCAAGAAACAACAATTAGATAAGCCTAACAAAAGTAGAGTAGCTTGGAGCACATAATGGGAGATGAAGTCAGAGTGGTACTAGAACAAAGGGTCAGCTTTACCCTGAGTTTGATGGAAAGCCATCATACAGTTTGAGCAGAGATACGACATGATCTACCTTATCTTTCAACAGGACCACTCTGGCTGTGATGTGGCAACTAAAGACAGCACATACTGAAGCAGGAAAGAGAAGGTCCTTCTAACAGGAGAGACATAATGGCTGACTGGACTTGGGGAGGGATAGTAAGAGTGATAATAACAAGCTGTTAAGAGTCTGGATATGGTTTGAAGAAAGAGCCCACAGATCTGTGCTAACAGACTAACAGAAGTGAAGGACAGTGACAAGATTTTTGTCTAAGCAACTGAAAAATGGAGGTACTGGTTTGCTAACATGAGGAAGATAGTAAAAACAAATTATGAGGAAGAAATATCAGAGGCCCAGTTCTGGGTAGGTTAAATTTTGTTATTAAACATTTGAGTGGAGATACTGAGTTAAGGAACCTGGAATTCAGACAAGAGGTCAGGGCAGAAGATATACATTCAGGAGTCATCATCAGATATAGATAATTCTTAAAGGAATGAAAAAGAATGAGATTACCCAGGGACTAAGTGAAACTAGAGAAGCAGGGAGCCCAAGGACTGAATCTGGGATACTTCCAACATGAAGTGAAAGAGAAGAACTGGCAAGGGTGACTGGAAAGAAGCCAGGGAAGAACTGAAGAGTGGCATGCCCAAAGACAGCTGAAAAAGCACCTGAAGAGGGGAAGATCAATTGTAACAAATGCTGGAGATGGTTCAAAATGAGGACTTAGAATTGATAAGGGATTTAGCATTATGGAGATCACTGGTGACCTCGATGAGAGTGGTTTTTGGTGGAGGACCAAGCCTGATTGGACAGGGTGAAAGACGGAATGTAAGCAGAGGAATTAACAGCAGCAAGGATGCATACATCTTTTGAGAAGTTTTACATTCAAAGAGTACAGCAGTATGTGGCAGTAGCTGAGGGACTGCGGGGTGAGGACAGAGATTCTCTTGTAAGACTGGAAAAATTTTATCAATGTTTGAATGAATACTGATAAAAACGATCCAGCAGAAGGAGTAAAGTGAAGATGCGAGGAATAGAAGTGCTAAGCAGGAAAGAGGGAAAATACCTACTGCCCAAGTAGAAGTGTTAACCTGGGACAGGAACACCTACAGAGAGACAATCTGGACACACAAGAGAAATGTACCAAAAAATAAGACTATAACACTTTCTATAGGCTAAAAATACAGATTTCCAATGAATGCTTGGTCCTTACCTTTTGTTGCTCTGTTCATTTGCAACTTATACCTAATAACCACTCAGATCTCCCTTCATGTTTTTATCTAATGGTTCACTGACAAAAATCAATGAAGCATCTGGCAACTAGAAAAAAACTACAACCTAGATCTTTCTAATCATTTCACAAACTATTCCTATTAAATGTAAAAACTATGCTACTTAGCCGGGCGCAGTGGCTCAAGCCTGTAATCCCAGCACTTTGGGAAGCCGAGACGGGCGGATCATGAGGTCAGGAGATCAAGACCATCCTGGCTAACACGGTGAAACCCCGTCTCTACTAAAAAAAATACAAAAAAAACTAGCCGGGCGAGGTGGCGGGCGCCTGTAGTCCCAGCTGCTCGGGAAGCTGAGGCAGGAGAATGGCGTAAATCTGGGAGGCGGAGCTTGCAGTGAGCTGAGATCCGGCCACTGCACTCCAGCCTGGGCGGCAGAGCGAGACTTCGTCTCAAAAAAAAAAAAGAAAACAACAACTATGCTACTTAAAGAGTTTTAAAACAAATCCAATTATTTTTATTCCTATAATGTCTGAATGTGCACTGAACGTTTAAAAACAAACATTTAAAAATACACAAATACAGCTGAGAGCAGTGGTTCACACCTGTAATCCCAGCACTTTGGAAGGCCGAGGCAGGTGGATCACCTGAGCAGGAGTTCAAGACCAGCCTGACCAATATGGTGAAATCCTGTCTCTACTAAAATTTCAAAACTTAGCTGGGCATGGGGGCGTGCACCTGTAGTCCCAGCTACTCGGGAGGCTGAGGCAGGAGAATTGCTTGAACCTGGGAGGAGGAGTTAGCTGAGCTCACATAAGCGCACTCCAGCCTAGTATGACAGAGCGAGACTCCCTCTCAAAAAAAAAAAAAAACACACAAACACAAAAAACCTTTGTATAATCCATGCAGCAGCAGTAGGCACTGACCTCATTTCTACGACTTGGAGCATGACCAAATGATTTTTCATTATATAGACTTAAATTTGGTTTTGTTCTGAGACAGTCTTGCTCTGTTGCTCAGGCTGGAGTAAGTGGCATGATCACAGCTAACTGTAGCCTTGACCTGCCAGGCTGAAGCAATCCTTCCACCTAAGCCCATTGAATAGCTGGGACCACATGTGTGTGCCAACATGCCCAGCTACATTTTTGTTTTTTTGTCGAGACAGGGTCTCACTATGTTGCCCAGGCTAGGTCTCGAACTCCTGGGCTCAAATGATCCTCTAGTCTCCGCCTCCAAAAGTGCTGGGATTACATGTATGAGCCACCATACCTGGCTTGTTTTTCTGACTTGTTACTGTGGTGGCTTTAAAATGTGTCCACCTGGCCAGGCACAGTGGGTCCTGCCTGTAATCCCAGCACTGTGGGGGGCCAATGCAGGCAGATCACCTGAGGTCAGGAGTTTGAGACCAGCCAGGCCAAAAGGGTAAAAAAAGTTAGCTGGGTATGATGGCAGACACCTGTAATTCCAGCTACTTGAGAGGCTGAGGCAGGAGAGTCATTCGAACCCGGGAGGTGGAGGCTGCAGTGAGCTAAGATCGCACCATTGTACTCTAGCCTGGGCGACAAGAGCAAGATTCCATCTCGGAAAAAATAAAATAAAATAATTTTATATATACACATACACACACACACATATGTACATATGTATGTGTGTATCCACTTAATCCTTGGAGTGGATATCCTTGGAGTGTGTGTGTGTATCCACTTAATCCATTCGAGAAGGTAAAAAATGAAAAAACAGTCCAAAAATTCTTTTGATACTCCTCCCTTTAAAAGGTGGAACTGAACTCCGCTCCCATTGACCATGAAGTGTACTTAGTGACTCACTTCTAACACATAAAATAAAGCTAAAGTTGATAGTATGTAACTTTTGAGACTTGGTCACAAAAAGATATTTTACATGTGTGGTCAACTGATTTTTGATGAAAGAGTCAAGATAATTCAATGGGGAAAGAATCTTTTCAACAAATGGTGCCAGGACAAATGGACGTCCAATGTGTAAGAGTTAATCCCCCTTTTTCTTCCCACCCCCACTGAATACAGAGTCTTGCTCTGTTGTCCAGGCTGGAGTGCAGTGGCACGATCTTGGCTCACTGCAACCTCTGCCTCCCAGGTTCAAGCAATTCTCCTGCCTCAGCCTTCCGAGTAGCTGGGATTACAGGCGCGCACCACCACGCCCAGCTAATTTTTGTATTTTTAGTAGAGACAGGGTTTCACCACGTTGGCCAGGGTGTTCTCGAACTCCTGACCTCGGGTGATCCACTCTCCTCTGCATCCCAAAGTGCTAGGATTACAGGTGTAAGCCACCGCACCCAGCTGTAAAAGTTAATGCTATAAAACTCTCGGAAGACAACACAGGAGAAAACAACCACGACCTTGGGTCAGGCAATTATTCCTCAGATATGACACCAAAAGCAAAAGGGACAAAAGAAAAAGATAATTGGACTTCAGAATTAGAATCTTGTTTCGGGCCTGGCACAGTGGCTGATGCCTGTAATCCCAGCACTTTGGGAGGCCGAGGCGAGTGGATCATGAGGTCAGGAGTTCGAGACCAGCCTGACCAACACGGTGAAACCCCGTCTCTACTAAAAATACAAAAATCAGCTGGGCATGGTGGTGCGCACCTTTGATGCCAGCTACTCAGGAGGCTGAGGGAGCAGAATCGCTTAAACCCAAGAGGGAGAGGCTGCAGTGAGCCAAGACTGTGCCACTGTACTACAGCCTGGGCGAGTACGCGAGACTCTGTCTCAAAAAAAAAAAAAAACAACTTGTTTCAAAAGACACTATCAAGAAAGGAAAGGAAACTGCAGAATAGAAGAAAAACATGTAAATCACAAAAGATTTGTATTCAGAATTATGTAAAGAATTCTTACAACTCAACAATAAAAAGACAACCCAATTTAAAAAATAGGCAATAGATCTGTACAGACATTCAACATCCATTAGTAGGGAAATGCAAATCAAAACCTCAATGAGGCCTGGTGCAATGGCTCCTGCCTATAATCCCTGCACTTTGAGAGGCCAATGTGGGCAGATCACTTGAGGTTAGGAGTTCGGGACCAGCCTGGCCAACACTGTGAAACCCCATCTCTACTAAAAATACAAAAATTAGGTGGGCGTGGTGGCGCATGCCTTTGTAATCCCAGCTACTCGGAAGGCTGAGGCAGGAGAATTGCTTGAACCTGGGAGGCAGAGGTTGCCTAGACAACAAAGCAAGACTCCATCTCGAAAAAAGAAAAAACAAACCACAATGAGATACTACTTCATACCCGATAGGATGGCTATACTCAAAAAGATAAAATTTAACTCTCATGCATTGCTGGTGGGAATGTAAAATGGTACAGCTGTGCTGGGAAACTGTTCTTCAAAAAGTTAAACAGTTATCACACGACCCAGCAATTCCACTCCTAGGTATATATACCCAAGAGAGCTGAAAACATTTTCACACAAAAACTTGTACACAAATATTCACAACAGCATAATTCATAATGAAGAAGTGGAAACCCAAATGTCCATCAACTGAGGAATGGATAAATAGCATGTGGTATATTCATAGAGCAGAATACTATTTGCCCATAAAAAGGAAAAAAGTACTAATATATGCCACTACATGGGTAAACCTCCAAAATATTGCTGCATGAAAGAAGACTGTCCCAAAGTCCAAATGTTATCTGAAACAACCAGAGTAGGCAAATCCATAGAGACACAAAGTAGATTAGTGGATGCCAGGGGTTGGGGGAAAGAGGAAATGAGAAGTGACTGCTAATGATTTGCAGGATCTTTTAGGAGCCAAGACAGTGTTCCAAAATTAGATTGTGTTATTTACAGAGTGTATAACTCTGTAAATATACTAAAAAATATGGAACTGTATAATTTAAATAAATTGTATAGTATGTGAATTATATAACAATACAACTTTTTAAAATAAGATATACTGGCTATCTCCTTGCTGTCTTTTGGATCATTAGTTCTAGAGGAAGCCAGCCACCATATTATGAAGACACTCAAGCAGTCCTATGGAGATGCCCACATGGTGAGGAACCGAAGCCTCTTGGTAACTGTCATGTAAGTAAGCTATCTAGAAGTGGATCCTCCTGCCTTGGTCAAGCCTTCAGGTAACTGCTGCTCTTACCAACATCCTGACTGAGAAAACCTGAGCTAGAACCACCTAGCTAAACCACTCCCACATTCTGACACACAGAAACTGTAAAACGATAATAAATGTTTGTCATTTAAGCTACTAAGTTTTGGAGTAATTTGTAACACTGCAACAAACAATACAGAATTGTTTATATATGCCGGAAGGCACTTGATATCAGGAACAGAACCTCTAATCACAGTATTGTTCCTAAGCAAAAATCAATCCATTTAATAATTTAGTTTCCAGGAATCCCTCCGAATTTCAATTTAGAAAACTATCATACATCCTAGAATTTTTTTTTTTTTTGGAGACAGTCTCTGTTGCCCAGACTGGAATGCAATGGCTTAATCCCGGCTCACTGCAACCTCCACTTCCCAGGTTCAAGTGATTATCGTGCCTCAGCCTCCCCAGAAGCTGGGATTACAGGCGTGTGCCACCATGCCCGGCTAATTTCTGTATTTTTAGTAGAGACGGGGTTTCACCATGTTGGCCAGGCTGGTCTCGAACTCCTTACCTCAAGTAATCTGCCCACCGCAGCCTCCCAAAGTGCTGGGATTACAGGCGTGAGCCACGGTGCCCAACCAGAAATTTTAGATAAATAGAAAAAAATTATAAAGGGCTGGCTGTTATATAAACTAAGTACTGGCATTAACATACTTAAAAGACATTTATGCATGCTGTCCTTTCTTCACCAGTGCTCTCCTATGTACACTAATCTTTCTTATGTAAATAGGTTCTGGCCTATTCCTTTCCTTCTGCTCTTAGCACAGTCTGGGGGTCGGGGGGAACAACTCTAAAAATGGTATGTATAGAGGACAGGGTGCGGTGGCTCACGCCTGTAATCCCAGCACTTTGGGAGGCCGAGGAGGGCGGATCACGAGGTCAGAAGACAGAGACCATCCTGGCTAACACGGTGAAACCTCGTCTCTACTAAAAATACAAAAAATTAGCCGGGCATGGTGGCGGGCGCCTGTAGTCCCAGCTACTTGGGAGGCTGAGGCAGGAGAATGGCGTGAACCTGGGAGGCGGAGCTTGCAGTGAACAAAGATCGCACCACTGCACTCCAGCCTGGGTGACAGAGCGAGATTCCATCTCAACAACAACAACAAAGGGTATAGAGGGGGAAAAAGTAATCTCAAAACACAAAAAAAGGCCTTAATCACTATCACACCACTTCCCCAACTAGAAAATCTTCAGTACCCCTACTATTCCTTACTTTTCCATATGGAAAGTCCTCTTCCTACTTTCTAAATACTTTCTTATCTGACCCCATCTTAACTAGTCATAAATATGTTTATTATTATTTGACAACTTGCATGAATCTCAGATTCATGAATGTACCAGGATTCTACTTTTATTTATATGGGTACCCTTAAATAACACATTTTCTCCCTTCCCCGATTAAAATTCCTCACTATTATGACTCCATAATGCCTTCCATTCCAGCAATCACTGATGTATAGCTTCTTCAAGTTTATAGCTCTAGTCTATACTAAATAATTTTATCCAGATGTATGCTTTACTTTATGACACAGACATTTTTCATGGATTATGCATCTCATCTTGACAAAGTCCTCTCTCACACACTTCTTTAGACTTCTAAATAGCACCAAACTTCACAAAAAATTACTTATTTGGTTGTTTATAGGGGGAGGAGACCAAGAAAAATTTGTTGGATTTTCAACAATGGCTTAAAATTTTCACCAGGAAGTGATGATACTGACAGAAGTATGCAACTCAAGTATCAACACAGATTACCAACAACTATTATGGGTCCACAAAATATAAAATTATATTTAAACACTAGAGTTCTGATAATTTATGCAGTGACCAATTTAGTGAATGTAAGTTTTCTCAATTTTTTGAATAAAAATGCCAATTTATCTGTTCATTTTTAGTATTCTAGATCACAACTAATTATTTTAAACCTTATATGAATCTTGCTTCAGAGATAAATGCAAAATTACTTCTCTTTGGGAAAATTTTTCCCCCCACAAAATACTAACCTGCAAAAAGGGTTTTACCAGTCAGCATTTCAGCAAAGATGCAGCCTGCAGCCCACATGTCAATGGCTTTAGTATAATTATTAGGAGAAAGTAAAAGACGTGGAGATCTGTACCATTTAGTAACCAATCCTTCAGAAAGATGACCCTACAAAAGAAACAAAAAACATTTTTTTTACTTTAGCTAAAAAACAGTACTTACAACTTGATTAAAGAATTCTTAATCTGCCGAGCGTGGTAGCTCATGCCTGTAATCCTAGCATTTTGGGAAACCGAGCCGGGCGGATCACCTGAGGTCGGGAGTTCGAGGCCAGTATGACCAACATGGAGAAACCCCGTCTCTACTAAAAATACAAAATTAGCCAGGTGTGCTGGTGCATGCCTGTAACCCCAGTTACTCAGGAGGCTGAGCCAGGAGAATCGCCTGAACCCGGGAGGCAGAGGTTGCGGTGAGCCGAGATGGCACCACTGCACTCCAGCCTGGGCAACAAGAGCGAAACTGTCTCAAAAAAAAACAAAAAACAAAAAACAACTTTAGTCTTTAACCCCAGCACTTCGGGAGGCCGAGGTGGGTGGATCGCTTGAGGCCAGGAGTTTGAGACCAGCCTGGGCAACATGCAAAAACCCCATCTCTACTAAAAATACAAAAATTAGCCTGGCATGGTAGCACACGCCTGTAGTCCCAGCTACTTGGGAGGCTGAGCTGGGAGGATCACTGAAGCGCAGGAGACAGAGGTTGGAGTGAGCCAAGAGCAAGACCCTGTTTAAAAAAAAAAAAAAAAAAAATTATGTAAAACTCTAGTTATAGTGTTAACTCTAGGCCACACATTCAAAGTATTTTTCAGATGAGCTGGTTTACACTCAAAGTCTTGAGATAATCAAGGAGCAAGTATGCTTCAAGTCAGAACAGTAGGGAAGAGCACCAGAGGTGCTACTTACAAACCAATGTCAGCCTCCTTACTGACCTCTACTATAAATCCTATTAATAACCAATTTATTCAATTACTTTACAATTACAAAGCACCTTACAAAACCTTATACATATATTGCCTTATTTCATCCTCAAAACTACCCTGAGAGATTGTGATGGTAGATATTAACTCCATTTTATAGGTGTGATGACCGAGAGATTAAGGGATCTGTTTCAAGTCATATAGCTAGTTGGATGTAGAAATGGAGTCAATTTTAGACAGTATAAGTCTTAGTTCAGTGCTCTATCCACAATACTTCACTGTGGATACAGTAAATACATAAAAAGGACGTGGTCAGTGTAATAATCTCTTTTCTCTAGAAAAAAAAAGTGTCTGTGTTGCCCAGGTTGGTCTCAAACTCCTGGCCTCAAGTGATCCTCCTGCCTTGGCCTCCTAAAGCGTTGAGATTACAGGAAGAAGCCACCGCGCTCCCAGCCTAGAACTCATTTTCTACAAAGTTTTTTTTTTTGAGATGGAGTTTCACTCTTGTTGCCCAGGCTGCAGTGCAATGGCTGGAGTACAGTGCAGTAGCTGGAATTACAGGCATGTACCACCAGGCACAGCTAATTTTGTATTTTTAGTAGAGATGGGGTTTCACCATGTTGTCAGGCTGGTCTCAAACTCCCAACCTCAGGTGATCCGCCTGCCTCAGCCTCCCAAAGTGCTGAGATTACAGGTGTGAGCCACTGCACCTGGCCCAAGTAAAAATACTTTAATATGGGTTGGGCATGGTGGCGGGCACCTGTAATCCCAGCTACTTGGGAGGCTGAGGCAGGAGAATTGCTTGAACCCAGGAGGCGGAGGTTGCAATGAGCTGAGATCACACTATTGCACTCTAGCCTGGGCAACAAGAGCAAAACTTGGTCTCAAAAACAAAAACAAAAAAAACTTAATGTGAAACAACACATATGAAGATTTGTCTTAGGCATGTACTGTGAAAAGCAGGGCTCCCAGGGGTTCTTTACAGCCAAAGCAGCTCCACTTTTCTATTTTAAACATCATGGTCCCACATAAGATTTCATTTCAAAACTAAAAGACCAAGGTTCAGCTTGAAAAATACTAAATTCTGGTATGAAGGCCATTTGCTATCTAAGAGGAAGTTGCTGTGAATCTTTTTGGCTATACTTACTACCAATTGTTTATGGGAATTTAGATTTCAAGCTAAATTTAGTTTAAACAAAGCAGAACTGAATAGTACAGTCTCAAAGGGACAAAAGAAGACAAAAGTTTGGGTGTGCTGGCATGCACCTTTAGCATCAGCTATTCAGGAGGCTGAGGCCAGAGGATCACTTGAGCCCAGAAATTTGATCCCAGCCTGAGCAACACAGCAAGATCTTGTCTCTAAAAACTCAAAAAAAAAAAAAAAGACAAAGCATGATGGTTCACACCTTTGTAATCCTAGCATTTTGGGAGGCTGAGGCAGGCAGATCACTGGAGGCTAGGAGTTCAAGACCACCCTGGCCAACATGGGGAGGCCCCGTCTCTACTAAAAATACAAACAAATTAGCTGGGCGTGATGGCACACACCTGTAATCCCAGCTATTTGGGAGGCTGAGGTACAAGAATCACTGAATCCAGGGGGTGAAGGTTGCAGTGAGCCAAGATGGCACCACTACACTCCAGCCTTTACGACAGAGTGAAACTCTGTCTCAAAAACAAAAGACCTAAAAGTTGAAATAGTATCCCCTCTTACCACAATTCTGTCCCAAAGAAAGTATATTCCACTCTTAAATAACTAAGGGAGAATTTCATTTATAATAAATAACCATATACTTTAGAAATTCATTATAATAACCATATTTTTTTAGAAATTTGTATTTAATTATCCCACTCCACCTTCATTTCAAACAGAGAGACTGTGAAAGATAGATTTGTATCAGAAAAAAGGCACTATGTAAAGTTTAATAAGATTAAAAATTCTGCCACAATATACAAAGAAAATGCAGGTACCTATTCCTAATTAAGCATATCAGTTTAAAGGTCTGTCTCAGCTGGCTTTCTCTACATACCTTATGGGAATAATGAGGATCCATGATCCGTGCAAGACCAAAGTCACCTATCTTCAGCACCAAGTCTTCAGTATTAATGAAAAGATTAGCTGGTTTGAGATCTCTGTGCAGTACGTTTGCAGAGTGAATATACTTGAGCCCCCGTAGCAGCTGATACATGAACAGCCTGGCATGCTCTTCCAGTAAAGGGCCCTGCTCCAGCACATTAGCCAAGTCTGTCTCCATGTACTCCTGAACAATGTAAACACTGTTCAGTTCCGTAAGGGAGCCCACATCGTCTGTTAATTGGCTTCCACTAGGACCAAGAATTTCAAACACTTTCACAATGTTATCATGGTCAAGTCTTCTAATAATTTTGATTTCACGTAGAGCATGTTTGACACTCTGGGGATCAGTAAGGACAATTTTCTTGATGGCTACTCTTTTGTCACAGTCATTGTCTACAGCAGAAAAAACCAAGCCATTGCCTCCACAACCCAATGGTTTTAAGTCCATATACCTAGAACCCAGATCAAAACCATGAATGTTCATGAGACTTTCAAATTTCTCTGCCATTTTGAAACCCTTACTATTGCCTTTTCCTTTCGAATTGAACTTGTGTAAACAAGGAAGAAAACTGGCATCAAAAGGAAAGATCTTTCAAAAAGGGAGAAGAAAAATAATTATGCTTCCACAGCAAGATGGTTTCTTGATGTTCATTGCATATGCCAAACAGGCCTGTTGAGTTCCCCTTAGATTTAAAGCTCAAAAAGCTCTACTCATATTGAGAATTAAAAAGATTGCAGTACTCATAGTTCAAGAAAGGGGCAGCAACTCTGCAGACATTTAAAGAAAACAAGAAACTCAAACGGAATGAAATGACATACTGTGCACTCAGATTACCGTGCTAAACGATTTAACATTTAACAAAAATGTGAATAAATATGCACACAACAGGCTTCTATGAACATTCTCCTCACAGTGCAGATACATTCAGTGTTGGACTGGTCCTGAGCAGCATCATTCTAAGGTGCTGGTAAGCACTATTTCCGTTTTGCTTCTTTTCTTCCTTTGTTGCTATATATTTATTTCAACAGGAAGCTCTGGCGGCTGTTGGTTAACAGAAGATGTCTTTTGTTAGTGATCAGGTGGCTCCAGCTCACCACAATCACAATCAAAGCTACCGTCCATCTTACTCTGATACAACCTGGGGGGATGAGAAAAAGAAGAGAGTCACCACTGCAGGAAATACCCTTTTCTTCAAATGTGTAGTATGACACAAACTGAGCATTTAGCAATAAACTACTACTGGTACATTAAACTTAATGATGGTCATTAAGTGACAAATTACCCTTAATCAAAAATAGCTTACAAAAATGTTATGAGCAATTCACACACGTTGGCCCGGGCTCCAGATTTCACTACGCTAGATTCTTGGTAACACTTAGGCTCATTAGGTTGTACTATTTCTGAAATGCCAACAAGTATGGGAAAGTTCATAATATTTTTATAGAACTCGAGTTTTATGAGGGGTAAAACATTAGTAACATCTATCTAAAAGAATATATAAGAAGTCTGTAATATGTTAGTTTGTTAAAGAGCATGTTTATTTATTAACTATGCCTATCAATATCCAATGAACAAAAATCTAACAGCACAAATAAGTATGCAAATAATGCTCTTCAATTTATAAAAGTAAACTTGCACAATAATACCTATGAAAAGGTATTTAATGTGATAGGAAAAGATTACCTTAAAAGAACATTTCAGATTGAAAAAACATGCTTCTCTGTTAATGTCAAGTTTGAGGGGTGTGGAAAAACAAACTTACACACAATAGTGGTTAGAGTTTAAATTAGTACAAGAACTTCAGAGCAATTTGGCAGAAACATATAAATGAATAAATAAATAGCATACTCTATGACCTGGCCATTTTTCTTCACAGTAAACTCTCTAGAGAAATTCTCATTCTTTTTGGTAAAGAAAATTAGAAACAACCTAAACTTCATAAAACAGGAGAACAGATAAGTAGTTATATGCATGCAAAATAGTTTTTTTTGTAAGTACATATGTACATTGCAAAAGTTAAAAAAAAAAAAAAATGGAAAAAAAAAGAGACAAATACCAAATTCATAATGATTACTTGGAGGTTATTAAGGAAAGAGACTAGAATCATTTCTCTGCATTTTAATGTGTTATTTATTTTAAAATAACAAGCATGACAGATTACTAGATTCTTACAGAGCTGGGTGGTATGTATATAAAGGTTTGTTATATCAATCTCTGTTCACTTAAAATATTTCATACTTTAAAAAATATCCTCTAAAAGGGCAGGAAAAAATAGCCTCAACTCCAGTAGATGGTTCCCTAGCCAGCCTGAAAAAAAATAAATGCAACTTGGTTCTTTCAGTTTCTTAATGGCCTAATCCTTGAATCTGCAGAGTACTCAGAGTACCAGATATAAGGCATTATGGAAAATAAGGTGGTCAGAATTCCTAACAAATAAGACCAGACAATATTTGAGGCAGAAAGAATAAAGTCAACAATTTATTCATTTAATATATAAACATATATTGAGTAACTACTACATGCTAGGCAGGAGCAAACCTGATATAAGCAAAAGGATTCTGGCCCTCAGTAAACTCAACTCATTGTCCAACAGGAGAAAGACAGCTTTAATAAAAACTGATACTTACTATCCTTCAGTTCTTTTAATAAATGAGAATGGGTCTTGTATCTGCATAATATGAAGGACACTAATAGTAAAATAGCTTTCTTTTACTGTAACAGATGGCTTCTCCTCTGCAAGTTTTTCTCTGCTTCTCAGAAATCAGCCCCCCTAGCCCGCCAAAAAAAAAAAAAAGTCCTAAAAATTCTGTAGCTTACCAGTCTATTTGTAACAAAACACTTAAAAAGTTTGTGAATAAACTTTTGAATTTAAAAAAATATTTCAAGGCCGGACACGGTGGTTCACACCTGTAATCCCAGCACTTTGGGAGGCCGAGGAGGGAGGATCATGAGGTCTGGAGTTCAAGACCAGCCTGGCCAATACGGTGAAACCCCATCTCTACTAAAAATACAAACAGTAGCCGGGCGTGGTGGCGCATGCCTGTAATCCCAGCTACTCCGGAGTAAGGCAGGATAACTGCTTAAACCAGGGAGGTGGAAGTTGCAGTGAGCCGAGATCACGCCATTGCACTCTAGCCTGGGCGACAGAGCGAGACTCTGCCCCCTGCTCCCCGCCAAAAAAGTCAAACACCTTAAGTCCAACATATCATTTGCCATTATCCAGCTGAGCCATTAGTCTTGTCTTTGGTCTTTAGCCACTGGATTTTCAATGCTGTTATGTGATCTAGCCCATGTGATTATGGAAATAAGTAATAAAAATACATTTTGGGGCCAGGCGCGGTGACTCACGCCTGTAATCCCAGCACTTTGGAAGGCCAAGGCGGGTGGATCTCCTGAGGTCGAGAGTTGGAAACCAGCCTGACCAACATGGAGAAACCCTGTCTCTACTAAAAATACAAAAATTAGCCCAGCATGGTGATGAGTGCCTGTAACCCTAGCTACTTGGGAGGCTGAGGCAGGAGAATCGCTAGAACCTGGGAGGTGGAGGTTGCAGTGAGGTGAGATCACGCCACTGCACTCCAGCCTGGGCAACAGCAAGACTCCATCTCAAAAAAATAAAAATAAAAATAAAAATAAATTTTTGTATTGGTAAAAGTTTCAGATTTTTAAAAAGGGCTTTAATACTGTGTCTCCCTCCCACCAAGGTTTTTCTGTTTGTACACATCTTGATTCTTCCTGCTCCCCAGGAAATACCCTAGGAAAACCAGTTTGTTTGTTTGTTTGAGACAGGGTATTGTTCTGTCACCCAAGCTGGAGTGTAGTGGCCTGATCACTGCTCACTGCAACCTCTGCCTTCTGGGCTCAAGCGATCCTCCCACCTCAGCCCCTCAAGTATCTGGGACTACAGGCAGGAGCCACCACACCAGGCTTTCTTTTTCTTTTTCTTTTTTTTTTAAAGTATATGTGCTGCTGAGGCAAGCAACACACAAGGCTAATTTTTGTATTTTTTGTAGAGACAGGGTTTCACTATGTTTCGCAGGCTGGTCAAGAAAACCAGTATTTCTCAAAGGCTCCACTATTTCCAAAATTTTACATCTCTAGTCTCTACCTGAAATAGAATGCTTGTTCATGCCTACCTTCCTGCCTTAACGTAAACAATTCCTTAAAGCTCAGTCATGTTTTACATTTCTGACTGTAAAATCAGTTCCACAGACAAATGAAATAAGAACAGTAAGATCTCCAAGTTCTCTCTCAAACTTCTACTTCACTAGCAATCTACTCAAGCACAAACAATGCTTCGTCAAAAATCACACCACTGTTATCTGACAGAATAGCACTATAGTAGGCGTTGTAGCCAGATTAGGAAAGCCATGAAAATGAGAGATCCTTACTTAAGGCCTCCATCCACATCTGCCCCACTTAAATTTTATTGAGACCAAGAAGCCTCACAAACTAGAAACTTCAGGGAGAGTGTCTTTTCAGAATTATCAGTGACTGGTCAGCACTTAACGAGGTAGAGTGGGTAAAAAATGATACTAGGGAAGGTAGGAGCTTTGCCTACACTGAGAACTGCAGAGCCATCACTATGTACTCAGATGATGAAGACTATACATTCTAACAAGAGAAGGTAGTATTTATAAACCAAACTGTAATTCCACTAGACAATGAGGATTATACCAATTAAACACCTAGGGGGGAAAGGATTTACAATGGCAGTGCTTGTTCAGTGATTCTGCCTCATTGCTCTGTGAGTAGTAGTCTTCAGGATCCTTCACTATCCATTAGACCAAATGCTGCTGGAGCGCCTTTTCAGCCAGGATCTTGGAAAGTAGACCCACCTTAATTAGTAAGTTGGGAGTCATGCTGTACCTCTACATCATACAGTGGATCCATTAAGTGTTTACAATTCAGTCATATTCCATTATTCGGTAAGTATTTGATAAGTATCTGTGTCAGTCAATACCTTGGCAATGGGGATAAAATGGTGAGTAAAGAGAGACTTGGGCTCTGCCTTCGTGGAGTTTATCATGTGACTAGAGACAATTTCTTTTTAAAAAGAAGAAAAGTAAACAAGGAAATAAAGAAAGGACAAGTGGTACCAAGGAATGCTACAAGATACTACTGAGAGTCTGCACATTGGGGGTCTGACCTGATTAAGAAAGTCAAGATGTGTGTGCCTGGTAGCCATAAAAAAGGCAGAGGCCTCTCATGCTCTCCTAGTGACCCTAGAAAGAAAATTGTTCCCTCATCACCTTAACTCTTAGGGCAGTTATATTCCAAATTCTGATGTCTCCAATTACCTCCAACTTTCACGTCAACCATGGAGCTCCTTGGCCTGACTAAAACATATATAAAACTCAGCTGGACCAGCAGATGGTCACTGCATCCTCTATCCACATCAGTGTCCTATTAATTGCCATTATCTCCACCATCTTTCATGCTTAATTTCATAAAGGCAAAGTTTAAAGCTTAGACCAGGAAAAAACTGGGGCTCCATATTCTTTTTACATGTTCTACACACTTCGACAAGGGAGTAAAAAGGAAGGTAACATAAAGGGACCCTTTCCAGCATCTTTTCAATTTCTCTGCCTCCAAATAAATGCTACCCATTCCTACCAACCAGTGCTGATTCTGGGTGGTCTGGGGAGTGATCACTAAGTGTGATTAGCTGGTTTGATGTTGTTTTGGTTTTTTGTTTGTTTGTTTGTTTTTTTGTTGAGACGGAGTCTCGCTCTGTCGCCCAGGCTGGAGTGCAGTGGCCGGATCAGCTCACTGCAAGCTCCACCTCCCGGGTTTACGCCATTCTCCTGCCTCAGCCTCCCAAGTAGCTGGGACTACAGGTGCCTGCCACCTCGCCTGGCTAGTTTTTTGTATTTTTTTAAGTAGAGACGGGGTTTCACTGTGTTAGCCAGGATGGTCTCGATCTCCTGACCTCGTGATCCACCCGTCTCGGCCTCCCAAAGTGCTGGGATTACAGGCTTGAGCCACCGCGCCCGGCCCGATGTTGTTTTTAAAAACTTGGTGAATAAAATGAAGTACAGAGAATAATTTATAAGAATAAAGTTGACTTTTTGCTTTATCTTTGGCTTTCTTTCAGTGATCTACTATGCCATGGAATTAAGAGCTCTCTATAATCCA